CTGTTGAACAATGACATAGCTACATGCAGGATCCAAGTGTGCCATAAGCTAGAGACCATTCCCAAAGCTGCTGCTTATATATGGGAAGCAGACCACATACCCAAAGCAACTACTCAGCTGCTTGTGGTAGATACCACTGTGGAGTTGATTGCCAGTCTCATAATGGGGAATAACTACCACCAGCTGCCCAGCCACTCAACCAGGCCCAGCCAAGTTGACATACAAATTTAACTACCACAGTTAGGATTTACAACACATATTTTGGGGGACACAATTCAATCTGTAACAGCTTCTTCTTGTTGTTGTTGTTGTTGTTATGTGCCGTCGAGTCGGCCCCGACTCATAGCGACCCCTCCTTGGGTTTCCGAGGCAGTATCACTACGGAAGTAGGATTGCCCAACCTTCCTTCCGAGGACCTTAATAAATCATCCCTACAAGGTCATGCATGATCTGGACTCTATTTTTCCAACTTTTCTTTTTCATATAATTTCCTTTATTCAATGTGCTCTAGCCTCCCTAACTTTTTTCTCAAAATTCTACATTCCTTCCTGACTCACAGACTTAGTTCAGGCTCTCTTCTGCCAGAAATGCTCTTCTTTCATTTACTCCATTTATACTACTCAATTAATGATTTCACATTCTCAAGTAAGACTTCATTGATAGTCTTAGTTTGGCCATCCTTTTATAAACTGTCATAAGTGCTCTATATTTCTTTATATTAAAGTAGTGCAATTATTTGAGAAAAAAAAAAGTGTCTCTCTCCCTCAGGAAATTATATGCCCACAGGGTCATTGTTTATTTTTCTTTTGCTCACAAGTGTTTGCATCTCCAAAGCCTAGCACAATTCCTGGCACATTATTAAATAAATTAATGAATAAATCATACAAGGTTGGGTAAAGAGAAAGAAGGCAAAAGTGGCAAAGGGATCAATACCAAAGCTATGTTTCAAAGAACATCACTCAGAGAGATGACTGCTCACTTTTCTGGTTTATACAAATCTTGACCTCTGAATGAGTGTACAGATTGGGAGAGAGGCAGTCTCTGTCATGTATCAATTTTTCACAGATTCTGGCATCAGGTTATCATTCATTTATACTTTTACTATTTCTGAGATTTTTTCTCTTTTTCAACTTATTCACTGGTAGTGGTAACTTAGGAGAGGTTGCAATTGGGTGGCTTCTAGCCTTGTGTCATTTCATAGTATAACAGCTAGAATTTTTATTTCATTTTTTATTTAGGCACTTTACCTGAAAAATTTTATAAATAGTGCATTTCTTTGCATGGAGTTTCTTTTAGGATACCCTTCTGATATATATTCAGTTCTTTTTCTGGGCATCCTACGCTATCTTGTGTGCATGTCACCTTTGGTTTACTAGTTTTTCAAGTAGGAAACCCCTGCCTCCAATATCTCTTTGTTTTCCATTTTCTTCTTTAGCTATTCTCATCTTTCTATACTTCCAGATGAATGTTCAAATAATTTTGATAAGTTCCAAAACCATTTTTTTTGTAGATTTTGATTGAAATGGAGTAAATCAATACTTTCAATTGGGGAACAATTTATCAATTTGTAATGTCCTTTCTTCCTTCTCCATTTATTCAATTTTTTTGTTTCTCTTAATTAAGTTTTGTAATTTTATTCATAATAATTTCATGTTGGTTCTATTTGATGTCCCTGTTGGTATTATGAGGAGAATATTTTTACCTGTTTGTATTACATTTTTATTGATTATTGGTGGCATAAATAATAGCCATTTTTTAAAATTATATATGGTACTAAATTTCACCCCCTTTTAAAAAGTGATATTTGCTATTTGTTTCACATATCTCAGCATTGACCAGAATGTCTAAAAAAATTAAATAATTGTGACTGCTAGCATCTTTTCTTATGTTTCAAAATTAGGCATGGTACTGATTTGAGAAAAATTTTGAAAGAATGTTAACTTCTTTTTCCTAATTTCCTATGCATATTTTAATATAAGGAATGAGTATCAAATTCCGAATAAGCATTCCCCTTCTTCATAGTCAATTATTAAAGTTATTTTTCAGTTACAGTTCTTAATTTCTAATTATTTCATCTTTATTTTCTTCTTTCATCTTCCTTTAGGTTTATGTTGCTTTATTTCTAGTTTCTTGAAGTTATGTGTTTGTTCATTTATTTTGCTTCTTTTTTTTAATAATAAGAGAATTTCAGACAATAGTTTGCCTGGGTAGTTTTGGTCACAAAAGTAGGTCAGAACTTACTACCAGCAGATGACTGGTGCTATCAGAAACAATTTTTCATCTAAGACAAAAGAAAGAGCCCAAAGTGTTGGCCCCCTTGGTACGAAGATTATAGTCTTAGATAAGTGAGCAGAGAATGCAATGTGAACTCCTTAAAAATTATCAAAGCCTTATCCAAGATTAGTTCTTAGTGTTTTTTATAGCTGTTTATCTTTGTTATATTTTTGATGAATAAAGAAACAAATTAAAATATTTGAATATACCTTGGATATGAAAGTAAATGAACAAAAAAATCACAAACAAACAAATCCACTATCAACTAGTTAATTCCAACCCATAGCTACCCTGTAGGACAAAGTAGAACTTCCCCATAGTGTTTTCAAGGCTGTAAATCTTTGCAGAAGCAGACTGTCACAACTTTCTCCTGCAGAGCAGCTAGTGGGTTCAAATGACTGACCTTTCAGTTAGCAGCTGGATGTTTAACCCTTGCACAAACAGGGCACCCTCTCAAAGATTTGTTGATACAATATCCAAAGAAGATTAATATATGGAATTATAAAATTAAGATATGTGGAAATGGGAATGGAGGCAGAGGTGGCCTAATAATTTTAGGTCTATTGCAGGTACACTAAGGCTGAATAAAAAATATATGTATACTGAGTTGCTGGTCCTGGATCATAGTCTAAGGGAATAGCAAAATCAATTGTCATAATATAGTCCACAAAGATATATTTATTCTACATCCTACTTTGATGAGTAAAGACTGGTCTTAAAAGCTTATGAGCACCATCTAAATGCAATTATTGGTCACTATTGGTGTAAAAAAGAGTGAAGAAAATCACAGATGCATGTAAATAATTAGTCCAGTGGAGTAATTCATCACCTGTACAGTCTTATGGACCTCTCAAACTTCATCTTCATGACCCTGAGACCAGAAAAACTAGGTGATTCTATCACTGTTAATAGCTCTGAAAGGGATCACAAAAGAAGGTCCTGGATAGAGTGAGAGGAAAATGTGGTATGAAACTCAAAATTATTTAAAAAAATGAAACAGGCTTACTGGTCTAATAGAGACTGGTGGAACCTCCAGTACTCTGGCCCTTAGATACTCTTTAATCCTGGAACTGAACTCACCCCATGACTCAACTTTCAACCAAACAATACACAAGCTTATAAGGTGAACAATAATACCAGGGAGGTACCACACTTCTTAAAACAATCAACCATAAGATCAAAAGAGCAGTATTTGCCCAGGGTAAAGCTCGGAAGGCAGGAAGGAGAGAAGGACGAAGGGAAATGGTAAACACAGGGAGGAAGTGGGAAGAGTGCTTTTACATTGTGGGGATTTCTACAATGTCATGAAACAAAATGTGTATGAATTGTTGAATGGAAAACCAATTTGTTCTGCAAACTTTCACCCAATAAAAATTTAAATATAATAATAAAAAAAAATAGTTGTTTACTCTAAGCATGTCTTAAGTGATTGAATAAGAGAAACAGTGGTTGAATATGGAAAAATTTATTATAGGTCTGTAAAATACATACAATCTAAATTCCTTATAGTATTCGGCACCTGAACGGTTTTGTGGATTTCACAATACAAGTAACAGTAAAATTGCATCACTGCATTAGTAAAAATGACTTCCTCATGAAAACTTTTCACATGTAAGTCAAATTTACTATGGAGCACCTAACAGAAATGCAAAGATATAATTTCTAAATCCAGGATAGTTGCACAAAATGAAAAACAAAACAAAACTTAACAATGGTTGAGATTTTACATGCTGTACACAAAGAAGTCAAAACAATTTTAACTATTTTAAATGTAAAGTATGCTCTACCCTATGATAGAGTGAATGGCTTACATAAGAAGATGAACAAGCAAACTGATGATGGAATTTATTGTCAGGCTGTTACCTAACATGCTCATGTTGCTTTCAGAAATCTAAACTATATAAATTCAAAAGAAAATAATTAAGAATTACTCAATTACAGTTTCAAACAACAAGCAATGCCAATTAAACTAAGAACTGGCAACAGCTTGCAGTGGTTAGTATATATATATATGT